GAAAACCAACTTTATTTCTTCTTAAGCTTTTCTGTATTAATACACTTTTATAACTTTTAAGTTTTATTTTAATATTTAAACAAAGTACGAGGTGTGTTCAGAAAATATCGGGAATTTTCGTTTTTTGAAAAAAATATATTTATTTATTCGTCTACATTAATGTTGTCGCCTTCAAAATAGTCCCCATTGGATATTATGCACATGTGCCAGCTCTTCTTCCAATACTCGAAACACTTCTAAAACTCGATCTTTGGGATAGCCTTTAGTTCTTTCAGCGATGCGCTTTTAATGTCATTTATGCTTGCAAAACGACGGCCCTTTTAGGTTCTCTTTATTTTTGGGAATAGGAAAAAGTCAGACAGAGACATGACTGGCGAATATGGAGGCTGGGGCATCATTACAGTATTGTTTTTGGACAAAAATGTTGTTCAAAATTTAATAATTTTGGAACAAATTTTGCTGCCACGCATTTCATACCCAAAACATTCGAAAAAATTTCATGAGATGAGCCAATCGATATACCAACATCATCTCTGATGGTTTATAACCATTTCTTCCACTTTTTACATGTTTTTATCGATTGTTAATGTGCTTGGGCGTTCGGGGCGTTCGTCATCTTCAACGTCTTCACGGCCATCTTGGAAACTCTTATACCACTTGTAAACTCTTGTTTAACTTATAGCAGACGCACTATAGGCCTTTGTTAACATTTCACAGAATTTATTTCATTTTTTAAGCAAAATTGGATACAAATTTCTTTGATCCATTACCTTTCGGTAAAATATTTTCCTTTATTAAAATAATAACAAACACTGGTTTTCTACAAAAAAATATGTTAAAATGTTACAAAATAAAATTAAAAAACTACAAAGTCATGTTAACAAATCTTATTTGTATAACAGTGAAGTTTTTGTTCTTGGTTTTATCAGATTCCTCGTTCTAGTGTTTTCCAGATTCGCCATTCTTTAGGGAAAATGGAAAAAATTGTCACGTTCATTTTACACAATCAAAAATGTGGGAATAAAAAAAGAATCTATCTTTCTTTTAACATTTTATAGAAATACAGAATTTAAGTAGTCTAAAACATCGTTTTCCTAGTTTTAGAAAAGAATATTATTACTACCCAATACATTTTTTTATAAACTATAGTTGAATTTCATAATGACTGCACTGTTCATTGTATTTTATTATTATGATTCCCTTGTTTGTCAAATACAATATGGTCACTCTCCTTTACTAAAATTATTAGAAATATTAGAATAAGGTGCAGTAATATAAAAACCATAAAAAACAAACTTGTAGGTTATATACAAGTGTTAATTAAAATCTTGATAAAGTATACCTACTAAAGTTACTCTCCAAATCCATTAAATTTTTATTTAAAAACTACTTGTAGTTGTAACCAAATAAATGTAATTAGTTCAAACCGAGCCCTCTTTTAACATTAACATTTGCCATGGTTAATTTGCAAGAAACGGTAATGGTTTCCTCATTCTTGGGCATAATTATATTTGTAAGGTTATCTTTGCTGATGTGATGTGCATACTTAGTTTAATTATGTCTTAAAATGGCAAATAAAGATAATTTTTTCCATATCCCACATACTATATTATACTTGTTAAATGGTTTTATTTGATCATAAAGTATATATTTGATCATAAAGTATATATACAGGGTGTCCTAAAAACTATATTGAACAACAAAACTATAGTATTTGCTGGAAATTGAAAACTTAAATAAAAAGAATTTTAAAAAGAAATGTTGCTTTATTAATAAATTTCCCAAACAAAAAAATTAACATATACCTACATTAGGGTAGCCCAAAAAAAAGAATATTTTTTTGTCTCGTCTCTTGTAAAAATATGTTAGTTTATCATGCTGTAAGAGCCCTGTCAAAATATCAGCTAGATTAAAAAATTTTTACGGGTCGCTCAAGATTTTTAAAAAAATTTTAAATCGTCAAAAATTGAATTTTTGTTTTATTGTAATTTTTTTTCTCGTCTCGATATTATTTTTTAGGTTGAAAATAATAAAAATTATGTAAATTCCGAATCAATATTTTGATTTCTAAAGGTCGCTAAAATTTCGTTGATATTTATTTATATTCAGAGTTCACTCGAAAACATTCAAAATACTCTACTTAAAAAAAAAAGTTAAAAAAATCTTGAGCGACCTTTAAAAATCAAAATATCGATTTTAAATTTTCAGAATCATTATTATTTTCAAACCAACATACCTACTTTCACAAGAGACGAGAAAAAAATATCCTTTTTTGTTTGGGACAACCTAACCTACATAAATGAACACACAATTAAATAACATACCATTCTAAAATCATCAAATTATAAAGAACTTAGGTACAATATAACAATTACTGATGTATACTTACTGATGTATTTCGTAACTTTAACCCACTGTATTCCCCTTTTTTCGGATACTTTGCACTTCGCAAGGAATCCGAATAACAATAATAACAGATTTCTGGTAATATATTACACAGTACGACAAAATTTGATTTTTGGTCCCTCCCATGAAAAATTTCTACAGATTCTAAAAATAGAGTTAAAAAAATGATACCCGTGTCTCGGCGATTTTTCACATCACGTCATAATTTTTTTTTAAGGGCTATCCAATAAAATGTTATTCACACTATTCGCGACATAATTTAATAGACTCGATAACAGCTGGACTGCATAGTTAAAAATATATATATTTACTAAATGGATAGGCAACCATTATAGATGCATTTTAAAATTATTTTAATCTTATACAGAGTTTTGCACATTTATATATATATCAAAAGGTTTATTTTTAAACCAAGTAACAAAATGTTTCAATTTTAAGCCAATCAAAATGCTTTAAAGTCGGGTGATTAAAATTTTTATTTATTCAATTTTTTGTAAAAATTGAGCTTTGTTGAATTAACATTTTTTAAAAAAATTAAAAGATATTTAAATGAATTGATTTAAGTCTTAAAGCAAGTGTACCTAAAACATATTTAATTTAAGTAAAATCTGCGGCATTTATACATAAAAAGCATTGTTTTCAACACAATCTTTATAGGAGGGTAATACTTTTTTTTTTAAATGTTAAATAAAAACATTATTGCAGCGATAAATCGATAAATTTTTCATATTAATTTTGATTGTTGAGTTAACCATCCATTTGAAATCAAAGTAAAAATGCAGTGTCCGAATCGAAATAATTTTTGTTATGTATGTGGTTTATTTACACCTCCAAGCCATATTCAAAATATTACAAAAAGTGTAGTAACAGCTTCTGAAGACTATTTTTTGGTGACGTATATACCAAACTTATGGTATGTACCAGAGGTTTTATGCGATTATTGTTACCGTTGTTTGCATGGATTGCAAGATAAAACACACAGTATGAAATATGTTGCACAACAATTTGGCTTCGACCCGTCGCGACGTACCGAACACGCATCTGACCAGTGTTATTTCTGCATGTCAAAATTAAAAAGTTTTGGATTTCGGTACAATACTAGAGAGAAAATTGATTACGCCGATGTAGAATCCGTCATTCTCGCAAGAGTGCGATCTGAAGATTATCCAACTGCTCCTTCAGAAAACATATGTGAGGATAAAAGTAAAAGACCTTTAACACCCAGTACAACCATTTTTTCCTAGATGGAATCTGAATTTATTCCCTGTAGTTCGGGTTATAAAGTACATTTTATAACACAGGACATGAAAGTACATATGTCACTGAAAATACATTTTCTCCATGCTCATTTGGACTATTTTCCACCAAATTTGGGCGATTTTAGTGACGAACATGGCGAACGTTTTTACCAAGACATTTTAACAATTGAAAAACGCTTCAAGGGAAAAGACGTCAGGTGAATTGTTGGTCAATTGTTCGAGATTCTGAAGCAATTGCTTATTAATATACAGCCTGTTCAGAATAAAACCGAATATATCTATATATATATATATATGGGGCGTGGCCTCGCCTCCCTCCAAGGCGCGTCACAGTTGCTTGTGTGATAAACGACATGACGAAAGGTCGAGCAGGTAAGAACTTAAAAAATTAAATGATAATAATGCAAAAAATCTCATTAGCGATGCAGTCTATTTGCTTAGCTACTGTGTCGCGCGTTGGAGGGAGGCCACGCCCCATATATATATAGATATATTCGGTTTTAGTCTGAACGAGCTGTATAATCGTCAAACTAAACGACCAAGATTTTATTCCAACATGTATATAAGAGAAATACAAAAATGTGTTTCATTAAAAAAAAATAAAAAAAAATTATTTAAAAAAAATCAAAATATAAACTTTTTTTATACATATTTGTTTTTTGTATTGTGTAAAAACATACAATATTTACAAAAAAAATATATTTTTAACCGAGTAAAAAATGTACAATCTGTATAAGCATAAATAATAGGAATGACGGCTTAAAATTTTTTTATGACGTGATCTCGTGAAACTGTGAGACACGGGTACGTTTTTTTTACCTCTATTTTCAAAATCTGCTAAAATTTTTCATGGGAGGGAAATCGTGTTGTACTGTGTTATAAACACTCTGGATAGTTGTTACGAACACTTTATGAATTAGAATAAAGTAAGAAAAAACATAAGTTGCAGACGCTGAAGTCAGTTAAACTTGTTGATGCGTATTGTCAGTGGAATTATTTTGATTGACTGCCTTAAATCAAGTGTACTTTTTCAACGAAATTATTTGTTAAACATTTACAAAATAATTTGTTACAAAACTTTCAGTAAAATATTCTCCTTTGTTAAAATAATTACAAACCCTGGTTTTCTACAAAAAATCATGTTAAAATTTTACAAAATAAAACTACAAACTTATGTTAACAAATGTGATTGTTATGACAGTTTACTTGGAGATTTTATTTTGTCAAGGTGCTCTTGAATATTTATGTAATATAAATTCCCCCACTGTGCCTACATAATCAAATGTCCAAAAACAAACTTTATTTTTTGAAATTAATTAGCTTTATTCTTTTTAGCCTGGTGGTAGGCCTGAAGCGGACTTTACTCTAGATGTGCCCAGATCGGAGATGCTGTCGAAAAAAATGCGCGACGATAAGAAATGGCGATTTCGGTGTCGACTGCTCACCTCCTTCTTGGGACTAGTCTTCTTTCTTCTCTCAGTCATGGCTGTCAGTCTGATGCTCACTCGGGGAAAACGGATGTTTGGATCTATGGTTTAAAAATTGAAACGCCCAAATGCTTACAAATGCAAAAAAACATACCCATAAATAATAACTACTGTTTAAAAGTTTACTTTTTCTGTATTTTTTGGTTTAAAAGTATACCTTTTTAAGACTGCTCGATCTGAGCATTTTACTTTTACTAAAAATGCATGTAATTTATTTGTTTAATTTGTTAACTTTGTTTTTTAATTTTCAAATATTAAAATTTCTATATGAATAAATGTATTATTTTAAAAAATCAGTTCTAAAGTTATCCAAAGTAGGTATACTTTTAAATTGAAAAATATTTCCTAGATTTAATTATTTAAGCCTTTAAAATATTTATACCATTGCCATACGATTTGCTCACTTACATAGAGTTAAAATAGTGCCAAATAATAAAATATATTATACATCTATGTACATAAAATTATTGTGGCCTATCAAAGATAATTTTCTTGACACGTGGGTTGCTATTTTTATTTTAATAATACACTCACAGGCAAAATAATCGATCCACACAAATTTTCGATGAATTTCAATCGCAAATAACTTTTTTATTTCATGTCGGATTTAGACGAATATTAGAGTGGCAAAACCGTATATTGTTCTAAATTAAGTTTTATTTATCAAGTCACATCTATTCTTAACAGTTTTGTTTTTGGTTCACCTCAATATATTTATTTTTGTGAAAAATATGGATTTTTTAAAAAAACATTGCAATTTCCAATATTTTTCTGTATGAAGAACTAAGGTTGCTATGGTCCATCCATAGGCTATGGAGAATGACAGTGACATTTTTGTTAAATCATCCCATACTTGGACATGTCATACACGGCTTTCAAAAGCCATCAAATTGTTTTTTGCAAATTAATGTTTAAATTTTAAGGTGTCTTCTTACTTTAAAAAATGGATATGTCTCCGAATGATGTTGCCAGAGCCATTAATTTAATCCAGGATGGACGGTCACAGTAATACGTGGCAAGTGATTTAAACGTCACAAGAAGTAAAGTACATTCGGAGACATTTTTAAAAGTAAGAAGACACCTTAAAATTAACACATTAATTCACAAAAAACAATTTGATAGCTTTTGAAAGCTGTATATGACATGACTGTCATCCTCCATAGGCTATGGATGGACCATAGCAACCTTAGTTCTTCATACAGGAAAAATATTGGAAATTGCAATGATTTTTTAAAAAAATCCATATTTTCCACAAATTAAATATATAAAGGTGAACCAAAAACAAAACTGTTAAAAATAGATGTGACTTAATAATTAAAACTTAATTTAGTATAATATACGGTTTTGCCACTCTACAGCGTGTCTTAAACTTATGGTAAAAAACATATTTTTGTTTAAACCTGTATATTATAAACGTACGTGTATTTTTTAGTAATTTTTAAAATATGAGCGATTCTCCATTAATGTATCTACAATATTCTTTAATATTTGTTTAAATCCGAAAACAAATAAAAAATAGAAAATTTGTGTGGGTCGATTATTTTGCCTGTGAGTGTATAATATTTCCATTTTCGGTCAACTTTTTTCAAGTCACTGTTACATACACAGTCATTTTTGCTTTCTCAAAATTCAAAAATCAGATTTTACGTACGTAGCAGCCCTAGTGTTTAAATATTTAAAGCAAACTTACTTCGTAATACCATACCTAAAAATTTAAAAAAATGGATATAAAATTATAAAATAAAAACATCAAACAGTTTTAAATGTGATTTAGAAGTATTAGATCTTTTTAAATTATAAAAATTTAAAATTCTCTACATTTGGTTACTTAAGTAACAGAAGAGTTACCAGAATATCTTGTCCAATACTTTTGTGATTATTATTATTATTTTATAGGTTTATACTTTTTACCATTTAACATTTAAGTGAACATTTATTTAAATCAGGTTAAATAACTATTTAAATCTATTAAAGATTAAGGCTGAGTGTAAATTAATGTGTAAATGTGAAAAATTTATGTATTAATGTATGTAAATATTATGTATTATATTTAAATAAATATATTTAATTTTATTGGTTTTCAATTAGTTTAAGAACCTATTACAGTTTTATGTTATATTATTTATAATATTGTTTTTATTTACAATTTTTCATATTGTAGAGATATCCTTAAACAACATAACATAATAAGTTTGGTAGGCAGTCTTAAGAATTAATTAATTTGAACCATTTTATATTAATACTTTTAATAAACCTGTACATTAGGGTGATTCAAAAAAAGCCTTTTTTTAAAAATGAACCCGCACTGGCCTAAATTATAAAGATTACATTAAAACTAAAAGATTGATACCAAAAAATCCAAATTCGATGAATATTTAGAGGTCGCTCAAATCGATTTTCGTATTTTTGCACATTCGAGCCGCGAAATTATTACTGCGCAAAATAGTAAATAACTCCGTTAGTTTTTAATCGATATTATTAAAAATTTAAGGGTTACCTAGTTTTTTAATACCCTCTGAGACAGTGTATTGAACTTTACGAAAAAAAATTTTTTTTTCATGAAAAAAAAATAATTTGTTAATAAAAACGTATCATCTTATAAAATAAGCAACAATTGGAATCGCACTATGATGGTACCGTAAAAAAACTAAGAAAATAACACTTAAATTATTTAGCATACATAAAACCTGCCGAAAGAAATATTTTATTTGATTTATATAAAACACAACCTAAAAATAATTAAGTTATTCAAATTTTTCCCATTTTCATACTATTTTATAAATAATTTATATCCGTTTTATTAATTATGACGTATTTTTATAAAATTTCTTTATTTTTGATACCATATTTAATTAATTACACTAAGTAGTTATTAATTTATGTCCTTTTTATAATTAAAATTTAAAAAATCCACTGCTCTACATCTTTTTCTTTGCAATGATTGTTTGAAATGTTAATTTTTTCAATCATTTTTTCTTTTGTTTCAGTAGGTACTCTTTTATTAAAAAATTCCAAACAAATTAGGTCTTCTATTTGCAATTCTTTATTTTTGTAAACATGAAGTTCATGAAGTGTTTTCAAATAATTTTTGGGCGCGCAAGTTGCATTTGGAGCTTGAAACCAGGCAAATTTGTAAACCGAAATAATAAAAATACAAATTATACGCAATGACTTATTTTCATTGCTAGTGAGTTTAAATTGATCCCGAAATAAGAAAATCTTTAGAGAGTAGGTATATAGCTTTGTTCATCCATCGGGCATGCTATCTATCTCCACCAAGGTATAAGATGTTTTTCTTTAATTTCTCAACAAATTAGTTTTGGTACTTAGACGCTTTTGAATTAAGTAAATAATATATATATATATATATATATATATATATATATATATAAAATTTATCAACTACCTGGTAGTAGGTCCTACTATCAAAATTTAAGAATAATAATTATTATTGTGGTATGTCAATTTAGCAACATCTGGACAGAATCAAATAATTTTGGTATCAAAATTTGAGAATTGTTGTATGTCAATAATTTTAATAAAATTTAAATTTCTGCTTAAGCCATATCAATGCGGTAAATAATTTTGTAGTTATTTTATTTTAGTTGTAAAAAGGACCTAATTTAATAACTACCTAGTTTAATTAATTAAATATGGTATCAAAAATAAAGAAATATTATAAAAATACGTCATAATTAATAAAACGGATATAAATTATTTATAAAATCGTTTGAAAATGGGTAAAATCTAAATTACTTAATTATTTTTAGGTTATATTTTATATAAATCAAATAAAATATTTCTTTCGGCAGGTTTAATGTATACTAAATAATTTAAGAGTTATTTTCTTGATTTTTTTATGGTACCATCATAGTGCGATTCCAATTGTTGCCTATTTTATAAGATGATACGTTTTTATTAACAAATTATTTTTTTTCATGAAAAAATAAATTTTTTCCGTTAAGTTCAATACACTGTCTCAGAGGGTATTAAAAAACTAGGTAACCCTTAAATTTTTAATAATATCGATTAAAAACTAACGGAGTTATTTACTATTTTGCGCAGTAATAATTTCGCGGCTCAAATGTGCAAAAATACGAAAATTGATTTGAGCGACCTCTAAATATTCATCGAATTTGGATTTTTTGGTATCAATCTTTTAGTTTTAATGTAATCTTTATAATTTAGGCCAGTGCGGGTTCATTTTTAAAAAAAGGCTTTTTTTGAATCACCCTACTGTACATCCACAATTTATTTTAGGCAATATTTTGGGATGTTATTCTAGTATCTTACAAATAAAGAGTAATAAAAACGAAATTGAAAAAAAATAATATATTTAAAACCATATGTAGCAATTAATATATTATGTTTTAACATTATTTTTTACAATTAAAATATTTCAATTTAAACATAAACTTAAACTTATATTATACAATTAGCCTAATTGAATTAGGTGCCAATCATAGTTTTTAAAAGTACTCTTTAATATAGGCAACTCAAACTACATATATGTTATTGCATTAGTCCATTTTGACATAGCTATATTTCTGTTATTTTTAATAGGATTTATTAAATTTTATACCTACTAATTTATAAGGACGAATACTTTTTACGAAAACATTTTTATATGCCACAAAACTTGTAGCACAATTCTTATTAAAAACGTCCCAGTGCATTTTAACAGGGCGATTATTAAATTTTGGTTCAATGCCAGCTATAAAAATAGAAAATACCTCTTAACAATTGAAAAAAATGACAATTAAGCCACTTAATAGTTTAATATTTAGCACTAATGTTTGTGTAAAACAACCTAATACACTGTGTAACTAAATTTTAATGAGATGACCACCACAAAAAAGGTGAGTTGCTTAAAATATACTGTGTGGATGTGAACTGTCTAATTGTGTAATGCTTTGTGTAAAGTTTGGAAAGTTTAAATTCTATGTTTACTAAACTACGTAAATTTAAGTAATTAATTAACAAACTGTTTTACTTATTTTACTATCTGTCAAACTTGACACAAACTAAAATTGTATGCGAACTATAGGCAACCTAGATTACTTATACACCAGGCCACTTTAAACTGAAAACTTCACAATGACACATGTAATCAATTTGACATCCATTTTCATATCCCACGCAATTAACCCCAAATTCTTGTTACACACTTCATAATGTTTTCGTTTTTAAAGAAACAGGATGTGAAGCAACCTGATTTGTACACCAGCGTTTTGGAAGGCCTGAAGAACATCTACAAAGAAAAATTGTTGCCTTTGGAGGAAGCTTACAATTTTCACGATTTTCATTCGCCTAAATTGGAGGATAATGATTTTGACGCGACCCCCATGATTCTGCTGGTCGGGCAGTATTCCACTGGAAAGACCACGTTGATTAGGTTTCTGTTGGAGAGGGAGTTTCCTGGGATGAGGGTTGGACCTGAACCTACTACAGACAGGTAAGCTGTTTACATCATAAATAAATGTATTGGTTTGGGCAATTTTAATAACGTCATAAAAGAGTATGAAACTACCACATATACTAAACCTATACCAATACCGTTTTTTGGAGCATTTGGTTTTGTTAAAGTCCGCTAAACGCATTGAGAAATTGAGGCGTTTCTCGGAAAAACATCATTAGTCCAATATCGTCGAAATTTAGATATTAGCACCAACTGTTTCCTAACCTCCATATATACGTATACAAATAAGTGTTTCTCGTAAAAATGTCATAGGTTCCATAATAATTAAATATGAAATTTAGCTTGTTCTTCTAAAAACATCACAAGTCCACTCCGTTTCGTCTAAGAAAGTCACATGTACACAACATGTGACGTTTTTGGACACTCTAGAAAAGTTTCTACCTCTTTTACATTACCACAGCAATAGAAAATTTTATGATAACTTGATAAAAGAGCAGAAGACCATAGCACCTGACAGTCCTGATAACACGGTCGACAACGATGATAACAGCAGTGGATGCGAAGACTGACTGTGGCAGTAATACAGTTTTTAGTTTTTTCATTTATTTTGTTACTCAGAGTTAGTATTTATTTTGTAGTGTTTGTAGTAAGAAGAATTGTTTGTTTTTTTCTTCTAAAAACCTCACATGTTCATGCATTTTTTGTGTTTTTTTCATATTCGTTTGAAAATACAAACATGAGGAATTCTGGACAAAGTATCTTACATTTTTTTACATGTAGTAAATAGGTCAATAAAGTACTTTGGTCAAAAATGGGAATGTCGGAGAGTTTTTTTCATTTTCCCAAATATGTTAATTTTGGACTAATGATGTTTTTCCGAGAAACGCGTCAATTATTAAGCTAACTTTTAAAGGTAATTAATTCAATTAAATACTTAGTTTTTGCAATTTTTTACTATCATCAAAAAGATAAATTAAATTTATACTAAACACAAACATGAGATGTTTCTAGTTTAAAAAACAATAGAGACAATATTTTCCTTAAATTCTTCAATGGTGTAACAACATGCAGACTGAATTAATTGTTTATTGCCGAAGTAGTGCGAATTCGCATTTCTAACAATTTTTTTAGTTATTGTGTTGCTCAAGCACGTTTTTTAGTAGAGTTTTGTCTTTTTTTTCTTAAATTCCAAAATTAAGTATTGCATTTATTTATTAGTTAAACAAATGACAAGCGCAATTATTCTGTCATAATGTAATGTTTACAAATCCAATATAGTTTGATTATTATGCTTTTTTTACTATGTTAGGGTTATAATAATTTATTGAGTGTTAGTTTGTTCTGTGGGTCTAATGTTTATTATTGGTCTCTTTTGGGTTTCATGCCTTACGCATTTGTTGACAGATTTATTGTCCTACACAGCTTTGGTGTATCACCGCGATAGTTCGATTGGGAAGTTTTGTCTTTTTTCTTTATTATTTTATGGTGTTTGGTTAGTATTGTCTTTCTAATGTTTCTACTGTTACTGATGTTTATTTCTATAGTTTAAGCAGTGTGCCTTTCACAAAGGCCCTTTCTTAGGGTTTTAAAGATATCTGTCGTGTTTAATTTGCAAATTATGCGTTAGGTCATGCATATGCTTAAGGATACTTATCAATTTTTTGCGGATGGCCACTTCCCCTCTTGTTTGACCTCTTTTGTTTGTCTAGTGAAAAGCGTCCAATGACAGGTGGTATACCTATAGGACCAGAAGCTGAAACTTGCCACTTAACTCATTCATATCACTTAACACTTCACTCTTTATTGACCGTTACACTATTTTAGTTTGCACTTTATGAAAATTGTTTGTTTCACTATAATTGGTTTGCACTTTTAAAAAAATATTTGTTGGTGCCCCGGGCGGCACTTCTTGGGGCGGCAAAAATCGTGAGAGAAAATTCGAAAAAAACTGGAAGAATATAAAAATAAAAAAAATATTTGATAATTAAATATTCTCTTTCGAAATAATATAATTCAAATTCCAATAGATTTGAGATTTATACAATTATTCCCAAAATATACCAAATCAAATAACGCTAGCAAAAAATAGAAACAAGACCGGTATTGTACCTTTGATGAGTAATCAGTAGGGATGGGATATTTAGGTACTAAAAACTGAAAAATAGGTAACTAAAAAGGTACTAAAAAAAGCATTTTAGGTAAAAAAAACATTAAAAGTTCAAGTTTCTTTTATAATTTTGTTTAGCCGCATACCCAAACACAGAACATACCCACAATAAACTATTTCTATGCAATAAACTGTGTTTCACTGAGTGACACTCACTACACAGAAATTCTATGACAGAACATAAGCTCAATACAAAGAAATACTGTAAAGAAAGTTACTGTTACAGTCTGTGACCCATAGAAATAATTTAGAATAATAGAATAATTTCTATGCTGTGACCATAAGAAAAAATTCTATACCGTTGAGTTGCACGCCCTGGATAAAATATTGGCGGAAAATTTTAAAGAACACAAAAAAATTAAATAAGTAAAAATACGAAAAAATAGATAACAAATATGGGTAATTCTTTTACAAACCGTACGGATTTTGATAAAAATTGACCGACACATCTCCGATTTGGCTGAAACTTTTTTTAGGGATTCTATATCGAAAAATAAGAGACACTTGTCCGAGGATTTTTTTTTTCTTTAGCATATTTTCGATAATACAAGTGATCAAAAATTTGAGAAAAACAAGGTTTTGGCTTGGAGACCCATTTTCAAAAATTTATAACTCCGGTTCTATTTGAGCTACAAACATCTTTTTTTTTTCATTTTAAAGCTAAAGGACTGAATTTTGATAACAAAATATTTTTAATAAAAATTATTAACAAATTCATATTGTTATTAACAATTTCATTTTTTAAATCAATTTTTAACAATGGCCCCCACCTCGTATTAAGTTTTTAGTATTTTTATCGTATTCTCCGTCAAATTTTACATAAAAAACATGTTTTCAAAATATGGTACCTTTATTATTACTATTGTTAAAACATTAATTCAAATTGCGCGACACATAAAAAAACGGTTTTTTGTTAATAAAAAGAAAACTATAGCTCGGATCAAAAAAGTTAAATATAAAAGTTGTAGATAATAAATAGATCTACAATTTTTGTTTTAACTATTTTTCGACATAACCTCACTTTTCAAATAAATTGAAAAAAATGTTAAAAATCACCTATTTTAAATTTATTAGCAATCAATACCATGAAAAAAAACATAAATTAACTATAAATTATAGAAAAATATTTTAAAAGAGGTGATTTTTTAACATTTTTTTCAATTTATTTGAAAAGTGAGGTTATGTCGAAAAATAGTTTAAATAAATATTGTAGATCTTTTTATTATTTATAACTTTTATATTTAACTTTTTTTGATCCAAGCTATAGTTTTCTTTTTATTAACAAAAAACCGTTTTTTTATGTGTCGCGCAATATGAATAAATGTTTTAACAATAGTATTAATAAAGGTACCATATTTTGAAAACTTGTTTTTTATGTAAAATTTGACGGAGAATATGAAAAAAATACAAAAAACTTAATACGAGGTGGGGGCCATTGTTAAAAATTGATTTAAACAATGAAATTGTTAATAACAATATGAATTTGTTAATAATATTTATTAAATATATTTTTTATTAAAATTCAGTCCTTTAGCTTTAAAATGAAAAAAAAAAGAAGTTTGTATCTCAAATAGAACCAGAGTTATAAATTTTTGAAAATGAGTCTCCAAGCCAAAAAACTCGTTATTCTCAAATTTTCGATAGCTTGTATTATCGAAAATATGCGAGAGAAAAAAAATTCCTCGGACACGTATCTCTTATTTTTCGACATAGAATTCGTAAAAAAAGTTTCAGCCAAATCTTAGATGTGTCGGTCAAAAGGTGTTCGGTTTGTAAAAGAATTACCCATATGTGAAAATAAACTGACAAATTAAAAAATATGTAACAAAAGTATAAAAAGGTAGTTTAAAGCAAAAACCTCCAAAAAAGGTAAAAAAGGTGAAAACTAGTTAAAAAAATAGGTAAGAAAAGTATAAAAAAGGTAGTTAAAAGCAAAAACCTCCAAAAAAGGTAAAAAAGGTGAAAACAAGTTAGGTTCATATAAAAGAACATCTTTTAAAACACATTTTGGCATTATTGGTTTTCAAATAGTTACATCGGTTAAAAAAAGGTAAAATAACTAAAATCCCATCCCTAGTAATCAGTCTACCGCCGACATAAGTTACCAATAAAGGTTTTCGAGAAAAGCTGCCGGCCCACTGCAATTCTGGATATGCGTTCGCACATCTTGAGTATTAATAAACTGGAAAATTGTACAGCCGGCCGCGACGTCGTGTGTTTACCTTTTTTGCTAGTCTAGGTGAAACTGTTAAATCAAAATAAACCCCAATAATTCTTTAATATCCATAACGTTAAAAAACACTGACGGTGTTGTGTTATATATAGGAACCTTAAGGTAAGTTTATTTCTGAATCTTGTGATTTAAGTTTTTTTTGTAGGTACTTTTACATAAGGTTGAGAATTTATCTCTTTGTTTTTTTCATATAAATTATGTTAAAGCACATTTTATTTGTTGTTTTTCTTTACCTAGGTCTAAGAATTTTTGTTTGTTTTTAATTCTTAAAATATTACAATTTAATGTTATATATATATGTTATATATTATATATAATATATAATTATATATTTTTAATTTTGCGTACGGTCCTCAAAACTGACTCCTAACCTAACCTCTTTCCCCCCCCCCAAAAAAGCCACTGCTGCCCCGGGCGGCACTTTTTTTAGTTACGCCGCTGAGTACTACCCTGAGGTATTCCAATATGCCTATTATATATCTTTGAATTTTCCTCATTAACCTTAGTATAAAATTGTCTATTGGACACATATGATATCAGCCATTTATTTATATTTCCTCCTATACCAAATCTGGATATAGAGTCTCGAATGCTTTAGACAAGTTAAAAAATATTCCTGGTACTATATTACTTTCATCTACTTTTTTATTTATATGTGGTTTGAATTATGTAGTGACTGTCTCTGTTGAAGTTTGAACTGTTTGCAACAAAATTAAATTTTGTGGGGTCAAAATTGATCTTGGCATACTACTTAAGGGTTAAATACTGCTTTTTAAAAAAAAGCTTCTCAAATAATTGGCTATTTCTGTGATGATCCCAAAATACTTGAAAATATTTTTTCTAGATTTGTAGCAGTGATGTATGACAAATCGGAAGGTATGATCCCTGGAAACGCGCTTGTCGTGGACCCGAAACGCCAGTTCAAACCCCTCGCTAAATTCGGCAACGCGTTCCTCAACAGGTTCCAATGTTCCCTGGTCAACTCGCCAGTGTTAAAGAACATGACCATCATAGACACCCCCGGGATTCTCTCCGGGGAAAAACAGAGAATCGACCGAGGCTACGATTTTATCGGCGTACTGGAATGGTTCGCCGAAAGAGTCGACAGGATTATTTTGCTGTTCGATGCCCACAAGTTGGATATTTCCGATGAATTTAGACGGACCATCGAAGCTTTGAGAGGGCACGACGATAAAATCAGGATTGTCCTGAATAAAGCCGACGGTATCGATAGTAATCAGTTGTTGAGGGTTTATGGCGCCCTCATGTGGAGTTTGGGGAAGGTTCTTAGATATCCTGAAGTTTCGAGGTTAGGATTCTCACCCATAACTTTTTTAATTAAAACTGGGTAACCCTAAACAAATATTATAAATATTCCCCAACACCAAAACAAAACACAAAGTGCTTAAAGTACTTTTCGTCAACGATGTTGGCATCTTCAGATTTTTAATCGGCACCCTTTAGAAACCTGAAATCGTGTCATTTTCTTACTCTCTTATAAGAGGCTAAAACTTTTTTTCTGTGGCAATTATTGAAATGTTTGTAATTTTATTTTACTGCCTAGTAAGTGTGTTTTCAATATTAATTATTATTATCTAATTAGTTCATCTCATAAAAGAATGGTAAACCACTAAAGATTTGTAATAATTTGCCAATTTTTGTGATTTTTGTCCTGCTCCTGTGCCTAATCTGCTAAATCTAGAAAGTTGCTTTTTTCAGGTATCAAGTACTTATAGGTACAATAGAAAATTATTTTAAGTTTTTAGACTATTATTTTCTTTATTAAAATAATTATTGAAACTTAATAATTTTCAAAATTAGCCAATTTTGCCCTCAAAAATCATTATGTTGAGGAAAAAATTAAAATCTGAAACTTTCAGGAAATGTAGTCCCCACCTTCATCTTTTTAGTCTAGTTAGTCTTGTTTTGTTATTTTTATCCATGTAAAAGATATAATAGTTTTTTAAATGCAGTTAAGAAGCGATATTGTTAGTTTTATTTATAACTTAAAATTTAGATGGCTTTGACTTAGTCAATTCATGTTTGGTAGAGAAATGTCAGAACTGTCAAAAATATTTCATAAATATTATTTGTGCGTATTTAAATTGAGATTTCAAAAAGTTCAAGTGTAATAAATGACGGAGTGTTCGAGATTCATGAATTTAATTGCAATTAAAAATGCAAGAACATATCATAATTTTGTACCTCTTTCTCATAGAAAATGTTCAAGTTCTAAAAAGTTTTAAATTGTTAAAATTAAGCAAAAACCAAAAAATATTCTAGATAAACCCCTTTATTATAACATGTTTTATTTTAACCAGTTACCTAAAAACTAAAATTTAAAGAAGTATTTACAGATTGTGTAAATTATATATTGTGTATTGTATATAATATATATTTATATATATATATATATATATATATGATTATACAATACATAAAATATAACATAACTACCAAATATATCAGAACTGTCAAAAATATTTCATAATTATTATTTGTGGTATTCCTTTGATGATTTTAAAAAGTTTTGTATATAACATAATATGACATATTATGTTATATACAAAATTTACCAAAGAAATACGCACAAATAATATTTATGAAATATTTTTGACAGTTCTGACACTTCTCCACCAAACATGAAAGCCAAATTATAAATAAAACTAACAATATCGCTACTAAACGGGCATTAAAAAAATTAATATTTCTTTTAAAGGAATAATGGAGGTGGGGACTATATTTCCTGAAAGTTTCAGATTTTTATTTTTTCCTCAACATAATGATTTCTGAGGGCAAAATTGACTAATTTTAAGAATTATCAAGTTTTAATAATTTTTTTAATAAAGAAAATGATAGTCTAGAAACTTAAAATAATAGTTACGTTTTTTATTGTATAAGTACTTGATACCTGAAAAAAAATAACTTTCTAGATTTAGTAGAATAGGCACAGGAGCCAGACACAAATCACATAAATTGGCAAATTATCATGAATCTTTAGTGGTTTACCATTCTTTTATGAGATTAACTAATTGGATAATATTAATTTACATCAAAAACACACTTACTGAACAGTAAAACAAAATTAAAATCTTTTCAATATTTGTCACACTATAAGAGAGTAAGAAATTGACACGATTTCAGATTTCTAAAGGGTGCCGATTAAAAGTAAAGAATCCAAAAATTAAAACGGCAAATCAAGCAGCGCACCCCATTTGGTGTTTTTATTTGGAATGACTCAAATGTAACTAAATCTTGCCATTAAAGATGCCAACATCGTTGGCGAAAAGTACTTTATCACTTTGTGTTTTGTTTTGGTATTGGGGAATATTCGTTTAACATATCACCAGTTCCTTTCTTTCAAGTATCAGGGTAACCCTGTTCAAAATTTATTTTTTCAGGGTTTACATTGGTTCCTTCTGGGACCAACCGTTACAGTTCGATGTAAATAGAAAAATGTTCGAGGAAGAAGAACAAAGTCTGTTTAAAGACCTGCAATCTTTACCAAGAAACACCGTGATGAGAAAACTGAACGACCTCATCAAGCGAGCCAGAATGGCCAGGGTACATGCCTACCTAATCTCGGAACTGAAGAAAGAAATGCCCATGATATTCTTGAAAGAAAACAAAAAGAATTACCTGATTAAAAACCTGGGGCAAATTTATGTCAAGATTCAAAGACAGTATTTATTTCCTGTAGGTGATTTTCCTGACGTCAAAAAAATGCAAGAGGTTTTATCCAAGCATGATTTTCGTAAGTTTTCACATTTGAAACAGACTCTCATCGACGAGGTCGATCAAATGCTCAACTACGAAATATCTGCTTTGATTACCCAAATACCGATCGAAGAATCTCCTGATAATGTTAAAGGTGAGTCTTTTAACGTTTTTATTAAGACATTAATTTAATTTGTATGAATGTTAGGGGGAGCATTTACGAGAGTTACCTCCATAGAATCTCCATTTTCATATATGAGAGGTATTGGAGTTGACGCAGGATCAGGAGAGGTTGAGTGGGTTGTTAATAAGGACAAATCAAAATACGACAACATTTTTGATGAACTATCTCCTATAGAAGGAAAAGTTACTGCATCAGGTACAATATTTAATTCGACCCAGCAAACACAAGTCTGATTATGTAATGGCCCATTACATACTTTCATGGCTTAATAATGGCATTTTTAGCCTTTACAGGAATGTTTTAATAAAAATATTAATTGTCGTGGTAAGGTCTTGCAATGGCCCTTTTCAGGCTAATATTAGTATATTTTACAATTTTACAATTTTCAGTATTAAGTTAATGGGACTTTTAAAAACCATTGAAGTGCCAAATGTTTTCTGTATATAAAACTTTCATGAAGTTTAATTATCCTTTGGTTTAAAAATGACGCCCAGTGTAATTCATATACCATAAACACGGGTGACTTTGCACCCCGCGGGTGACTTTAACCCATTTATGAAAAATCTTTTCGCGCTCGATAAAATTAACATTTATAATTTGTTGGTCTAAACCTGTCAATTGAGCGATTCTATTGAGTTTTTTTACAGGAAAATCAGTGTTTTAAAGATGGGATTTATTTCACTTTAAAATTGTATACATTGCATCAGTGCAAAACTCTTAGAAATACACGCGTTACAATTTCTATATTATGCGCAATCCATTGGAATGATGATCCTTGGTTAACTACTGGTCGATTTTTTATAGATATATGACGCTGCTAAGACGTGTCTAATAAAAATAAAATGTAATATTGAATTCATTTTATACGGAAAATACACTGTGAGACAAAGTAACCCGCAACCAGGGGGTAACTTTGCACACCAAGTTTTTAATTTTTATTTTTGAAACTCAGCCCTATGTAATATTATAACATAGTTATTATGAAAGAGCAACTCAAGACTCAAATTTTGGTATACAAAATTTAATGTTTATGATTGTTAAAACCATAAAAATTTTAAGCTTAAGTTTGATAGTGAGCCAAAGCCACCCGTGTTTACGGTAGTTTTAAATTAAAACTTTTAATATATATATACCACATACAAAATAATAATAATACTCAATGGTTGTTAAATTTAAATGTGTAGGTAGGAGCATTTTTAATTTTACAAATTTTGCAATTCTTATTACAGACAAAATACCAAAGAATTTAGTAAAACGGTTTAATTTATAAGGTCAAAATTAGGGCAATTACGAGTAAAAAATATCAATAATGGCAAAGAAACCTATAGGTTTAGGGACACCTTGTATATTTACAAATACTATAGTGGCATAAATTTAGGAGCGGATTAAGCAAGTCAAAATAAGACGAAAATCTAAATAAATATTGTTGCTAATTACGTATGTTTAAAAGATACAGGGTGATAAAGTGTTACTTATCATATCAGTTTTTTAATATAACTTCTACTATGGTAGACTTGGAAAGGTGATATTTTGCGAACAGTCACTTACTAGCAAAACACATATTCACACATAATTACAATTGTTTGAGTGAACACAGTGTCGTAGAAACGGGGGTTGCTTTAAGCTTATTGTCCCATACAAACTTTGAGGTTAGGTTTTTGTAACATTTGATGCAATTTTTCGATTAAACAGTTCGGCTACCATTAAAAAGGTGTACCTCTCAAACTTCGATAAAATAAACCGTTTCCGAGATATTCCAGATTACAATAATTGTTATATCGCATTATTTAAAAGGATTAAAAGGTATATGATAACTAATTTTATTTTTTAATTGAATAAACTAAAAAGGGCATTCCATGAGCCTCGGGACTTTTTGCCCTAACCGTCTCATTAAAAAAAATGTAGTTTTTTCAATTAAAAAATTTGTTAACATATACCTTTTAGTTCTTTAATGCGATATAACAATTATTGTAATCTCGAATATCTCGGAAACGGTTAATTTTATCGAAGTTTGAGAGGTACACCTTTTTAATAGTAGCCGAACTGAGTAATCGAAAAATTGCATCAAATGGTTTAAAAACCTAACCTCAAAGTTTGTATGGGACAATAAGCTTAAGCAACCCCTGTTTCGACACTGTGTTCACTCGAACAATTGTAATTATGTGTGAATATGTGTTTTGCTAGTAAGTGACTGTTCGCAAAATATCACCTTTCCAAGTCTACCGTAGTAGAAGTTATATTAAAAAAACTGGTATGATAAGTAACACTTTATCACCCTGTATCTTTTAAACATACCTAATTAGGAAAAATATTTATTTAGATTTTCGTCTTATTTTGATTTGCTTAATCTGCCCCTAAATTTATGCCACTAAGTTTAGGGACACCTTTTATATATTTTAATATATATATTTTATCCAACACATGGCAGTTATGACTGTCATTATTAATGTCATTTTAGACAAGTAAACTATCAAAAAACACATTCGTGTGTTATAATCCATAACTCACTAGTGACCAATTCATCTCATCTACAAGCACCGCTAATCCCAATTATCAAAGTCACTCAGGTACTCATCATCGGGAGCTTCGTTCAAAAACTTCTCTATTTTAGGTCGTTCTAATGTCTTGGACTTCTTTGATTTGTATCCCTGTGATTTGCTGTTCAAAAAGCTCGTTAGTTTGCCATAGCGACGATGGGGCTATTTTTTTGCAAATGTAAAAAATAAGCCAATAGAACATTTTCATCGATACCGTTTATCTTCTGTGAATTCATCCAAGACTCAAACATTTTAAACTTCTTGTCATAAGCATCTCGGGACTTTTCCTTGCAAAATCTGCATCGCTGCTTCTTCCGCTTCGGTAAGGATATGCTCAGGAACGTAATTTTCATCGGTTTCCTCCATTTTCTATACGTTTTTTCTTCAAAAAGCTTCCCTTTTCTGCAGGGAAAACTAACAAGTGTCAAAATTTATTTAAACATTTGCTAAGAATGTATCAAGCCCGTGGCAACCAAACAAACAAGCTACTTTGACCAAAATGTAAAAAAGTCACTGTCAAGTCATTTTGACATTTATTGGGTACTGAGACGCAAGTAGCTTTGATTTGATCACAAAGCTTATTAATTATTATCTCATAATCCACTTGTTGGATAAAACATTGTATGCCACTCGTGTGTTATGTTTCCTAAGTCACTTAAGATATACCACTCGGCCTGACGGCCTCGTGGTATAAATCTTTCTCGCGTGACTTATTTTCAACATAACAAATTTATTACCTAATAAAATGTTTTATTTATACAGGTCTTTATAACAATACATTGCTTTGTATTTGTTCTGGTAAATTTATTAATGTTTTAGTATTACATTTCACGATAATATCTTAATTAATGTAATTGATTAGTAAAGTATTTATTATGGTGGATTAAATGTGGTTTGTTTATATTTATTGGGTCGAAAATTTCACGATAATCGGAAATTTTTATCCCAACCGTCAGAAATTTTATTGTAATAGTAGGAATAACAATTTCAAATTATCGTTTTAAATCGTTATCTAATAAATAAAGGGTTTTCCAATAAGAGCGGGTCGATGTTAAAATTAAATAAAACAAGCTGTGTGTATGAGGCGCCGTTTGTGTCAAAATTAAAAGTGCTAAATAAACTTATTTTATTTTATAAATAATTAATTATATGCTTTATAAAATTATTATTACTTTTGATTCGCAGAAAATTATTTTATAAAAAAATAATTTTATAAAACAAAGTTATTTTATAAAAAAATAATTTTATAAAGAAATAATTTTATAAAAAAAAATTATATTATAAAAAAAAATTATTTTATAAAAAAATAATTTTATAAAAAAATTATTTTATAAAAAAAAATTATTTTATTAAAAAAAATTATTTTATAAAAAAATAATTTTATAAAAAAAAATTATTTTATAAAAGACGACGGGCGCATTTATAAATTAATTTTTACAGCAGCCATCTCTCTTTGTTTGTAGACACTCGAGTAAACCCGAGTGAACCCGAACGCCCTTCGCCAGATACAATTTTATGACGGACTCTGCTTTTGTTTGACGCAATTTGGGGAAACGATTGAAAATAATAATTTATTATTTTTATTAATTGATTAATTAATTTTTTTATCTACATTTATTTTGATTTTTAGTTTTTAACAAAAATTCTTTATGTTTAAACGTTTTTTATAAGAAAGCACTTTTAGTTAAATGCAAAACAAATAATGATTTACACCTTTATCTAATAATTAACTGTTAAAATTGATTACCTTACATTTTAAATATCTAAATTAAAGTAAATTAACTTAACCTTTAATTCGACACCTGAGTCCCCGGGACTTCCTCCCGTATACGGGTAAAAGATGAACAATACGATCACCGTAGTGCTGTTTATAGATTTTAACAGTTAATTATTAGTTAAAGGTGTAAATCATTATTTGTTTTGCATTTAACTAGAAGTGCTTTCTTATAAAAAACGCATATACCTATAATTATAGGTATATGAAAAAACGTTTAAACAAAGAATTCTTGTTAAAAACTAAAAATCAAAATAAATGTAGATGAAAAAATTAATTAATTAATTAATAAAAATAATAAATTATTATTTTCAATCGTTTCCCCAAATTGCGTCAAACAAAAGCACAGTCCGTCATAAAATTGTATCTGCGGAGGGGCGTTCGGGTTCACTCGGGTTTACTCGAGTATCTACAAACAAAGAGAGATGGCTGATGTAAAAATTAATTTATAAATGCGCCCGTCGTCTTTTATAAAATAATTTTTGATTCGCAGAAAATTATTTTATAAAAAAATAATTTTATAAATAAAAATTATTTTATAAAAAAATTATTTTATAAAGAAATAATTTTATAAAAAAATTATTTTATAAAAAAATTATTTTATAAAGAAATAATTTTATAAAAAAAAATTATTTTATAAAAAAATTATTTTATAAAAAAATAATTTTATAAAGAAATAATTTTATAAAAAAAAATTATTTTATAAAAAAAAATTATTTAATAAAATAATAATTTTATAAAAAAAAATTATTTTATAAAAAAAAATTATTTTATAAATAAAAATTATTTTATAAAAAAATTATTTTATAAAGAAATAATTTTATAAAAAAATTATTTTATAAAAAAATAATTTTATAAAAAAAAATTATTTTATAAAAAAATAA